GCCTAAGTATGTTTTTTTTTCTTTTTCTCTTCCTTCCCCTCCACCGATCTACCTTCCCAGTCTCTTTCTTTCTTTTTTCTCTTTTTTTCTCTTTCTCTTTTTCTCTTCCTTTCCCGAGCCAACTCTTCCTCTCTTTTTCTCTTCCTTTCCTGATCTGATTGTGGATCTAATTTTCTGCCCAACTTCAATGGTCAGATTTGTTTTCCGGTTAGATTTGTTTCTTTGCTGGATTGATAGTACCTAACTTTAATCGGTCATATCTAATCTTTGCCGTCCAAGTTCTCCCCAACCCGATCACAGATCTAATCCGATCAGATTTGTTTAGCTGGCTCCGATCGTCCGAGGAAGAGATTGCCGCCGCCGTCACCACTCCAATCGCTGGTGCTACCGCCGACTCACTCAATCGCCGCTGACTCACTCAATCGTCTCTGCCGGCATGGATTCCTGGTATTTTTAGGTCGTCATCTTCTACTTCGTCAATCTACGATCTCTTCGACAACTTGTGCCGGCAATACGGCGGTAAAACATACTCCTCCGATCAAGAGAGGCGGCGCCGGCTGAAGGTGTTCGAGGACAAGGACAACTACGCCTATGTTTCGCGGCACAATGGCGTCGGTAATTCCAGCTACACCCTCGCCCTCAACGCCTTGGCAGTTGGCAGATCTCACTCACCACGAGTTAGAGCCGGCAGATCAAGGAGGGGTATTTTTGGAAGTCAAAGTCATAATTATCCATCCCTTAAAAATGAACTTTAGTCAAACTGGGAAGGTCAATATAGGACGGAGGGAGTATTTGAATTCGAATTCGGTTCAAATATCTTTTAAGATTCATATTCGGTTCGATTAATATATCAAACATATTCGGTTCGTTTAAATATATTCAGTTCATTTAGATTTTTAAATATTTTATAATTATTTAATCTCTTTATTACCTTCTCTCTCTCTTTATATATATATATATATATATATGAGATTGACTCTAGTGAGATGACATGCTTCGGTCAGATGACACAAAGCTCACCATTGGCCACTGCAAAGCTCAGCAAAGACAACTACAAAGCTCAACAAAGAGTAAGGCAAATCTCACCATATTTTTTCAACATTTTGAATTTTTTTTCAAAAAATAAAATCAAAAGAAGGGGTGCTGACTGGACATTGACTCTTAACCGCCAGCATTGACCGCCGCCTGCCGCCACCGCCGGTCTCCGGCCGCCGCCAGAATCTGGCAGCCACCGCCAGTCGTCGCCGGCCGCCGCTGTTGCTCCGCCGTCGTTGACCGCTGGTTGACCGGTGTTGTTATTTTATTTTTAATTAATTTTTTAATTTTTAAAATTTAAGAAAAGGTGAGTTTTGAGGCTCAAAGTGGTGAGCTTTGCTTTATTTCCAAGTGAGCTTTGCATTGTCCATTGTTGAGCTTTGTAGTGTAGTGTGGTGAGCTTTGTGTCATCTGACCGAAGCATGTTATCTCACCGTAAGGTGTCATCTCACTGGAGTCAATCCATATATATATATATATATATATATATATATATATATATATATATATATATATATATATATATATATATATATATATATATATATATATATATATATATATATATATA